TGAACAAGTCAGTCGTGATTATCAGCTGCAGTGGTTGTTGACTGCAACTGGGCTCGAAAATCTCGACCTGCATCATGGGATGAAGCAACGAAAAAAGAATGACCACTGGCAGGCTCGAACTGCCGACCTTGGCATTGAATATCGACGTTCCCACTCGGGAACCCGTAATATTAGTACCACGCTCTAACCAACTGAGCTAAGCGGCCGCTGGCGTAGACGTCAAATTTGAACCAATACAATCACACATGCATTATCGAATACATCCTATTTCTTTGCTTGTGACTTTCGACCTGCTCCGCCGCGTCTGGGGAACGTGGGTGTTGTCGCGACGCTCGCAAACACGCGCGGCACCGCGCGGACGCGGGGGCGGGAAGGCTATATACAGCAGATGCACACCATGACAAGTTGGAGTCACGCGATCAGCATCAGAGTAAAGGGTCAGCGCCGGGCACGACGCGCGAAAGCTAGGGACGGACGGAGTCAAAGAGCATAGGAGTCAAGCTTCATCTGAGTTGACGTTGACGGGACGCGCGCGAGCGACCTCGAGAGGAGACACTCGTCGCGATTTGATGATGAAAATGGATGGAGTGCGAGCGAAAATTATGGAATGCGAGCGAAAATTATGGAGTGCGCTCGCACCTCCGCCCAGGGATGCCTTCTTATTTTACGACTCGCGCGCTGCCACGAAAAAGTCGATAGTGAGCGTCGCTTAATTCACGATTGCGCGCGCTTCTGCACGCGTCGCGTGGGACGAGACGGACGCGCGTGTTTTACAGCGGCGAAGGATGCTTTCCGTATTCGAGTCGCGCGCGCGTGCGAGTGGAAGCATGGACGACGCCGATCATCTTGACTGCACGCACTCCCTGCCTCGACCTGCTAGTTCGGGAAGCGTTATGTAAGACGCCAGAGGGCATCGCATCGACGGTGCCCGTCCAGCTTCGAAATGTTCGCCCGGGGCCCGCCATAGGCGACGCGCCAATCTTGCCTGCGGGCGCCGTCGCCGTCGCCGTCGCCGTCGACATTTGGCACGCAAGCTTCATCTTGGCTGGACGCTTGCTCGCCACCTAATGGTGCACCGAGTCGCGCGCCCATTGCGGCGTTGCCACACTCGGTTTGTCGAGCGATCGCGCCAGCGCGTTGCCATCACGCAGGGGACGTTCCGCAGAATGCAGCGGGGGCTGGACAGTGGCGGACCAAGTGTTGCCACTTGTGACGTGGGCAGCGCGCTGCCCATAAAAGATGAAAGGGTTGAGCGCTACGGTCGCGACGTGCACCGAGCGAATCGCTCATCGAGGTGCGCATCTTGATCTCACCTCATTCGTGGATCCTGCGAAAGCGCTCCAGGTACGTCTGGGCTGGATGCTGTTGCGATACCTCACCTGACCCCCCCC